TAACTGCGGTTACTGAAACCACCCCTTTCTTTCTTTGTGTGCACATTTGGGCCGCATTATGCACATATTTCCACATAGTGAGGTAGATATGTGGGGGCGTGTTAGAACGAGCCGTTTTAGGGGGGCGTGGCAGAGTCTTAACTTTGATAAAGAATATCTCTTTGGTTTTGAGACTTTAGTCTTTGCAACTTCAGGGATCTTATCTATGCACAAACAGCTTGTAACACTCCAAAGAGAAAGGAAAACTTGAAATCGCATCATATGACCCCTTTAAGGATAATTATTTAAAATAAAGCTGAAATAAATTTAAATATAAATATTAGAAGAAAAATAAATAAATTAAAATTAGAACTGTTGCTTTGGCAGTGTACTGAAATAAAACGTTTAAATTGATGTACTGAAATAGATATAAATAAACGCTAAATAGAGATATTAAAAAAGTATTAAAACTTAAATTGAAATTAAAAGTTAAAATGTTAATTCAAAATATTAACAAATACAATGACAGTATATAAATGATACTAAAATAACACTGTATAAAACTCATGCACATTTTTCAGAAGTCACATAATGGCTTTGTGTAAAGAACAGATTAATTTTAATGTTAAATAACGTTTTAGTGTAACACAGAGGAAAGAAAATAATACGGGTTTAGAGCAAATAGTTAAGAAACACAAAATCTTCATATTTGGGTGACTATTCCTTTCAACATTTTTTGATTGATTGATTGATTGATTGATTGATTGATTGCGCTGTCATTTACAAACTGTCAAAAAGTCTGAGGATGGTTGATTGACCAGTTGACCAAAATGTTGCACATACATTTTCATGAAAATATAAATATTTGCACCTACAAATAATTTGAAAATATAACACACTATATTTTCTATTAAGTCTGCAGGTAACAGAATATGTTTCGGTCACACTTTAGTTTGGGGTCCAATTCTCACTATTAGCTAACTATTAACTACCACTTTTGCCTCAGTAAGCTCCTAATTTGCTGCTTATTAATAGTTAGTAAGATAGTTGTTAAGTTTAGGTATTGGGTAGGAATAAGAGTCTAAAATATCTCAAATATGGTCATGCAGAATAAGTCATTAATATGTGCCTAATAATTAGGGATGCACCGATACCACTTTTTCCAGTACTCGCCCGATACCGATACTTTTATTTTTGGTACTTGCCGATACCGAGTACCGATACCGATATTTTCATTTCATTTGTAAATTTTTTTAATATTGGGTACAGAAACCAAAAGAGTATGTATAATGTTAGTTGGTTAACTTCATTTATCAAATAGATACAGTCAAACCAAAATATATTCAGACACCTTCAACATTTCTCACATTATCACAGTTTATTCGCTATAGTTTAGAAAATGGTAATAAAATATGACAAGAACTCAGAGTTACACTGTGTCAGAACAAATTCCATTTTGTCTCTCATAGTTGAGGTATACCTATGATGAAAATTACAGGCCTCTCTCATCTTTTTAAGTGGGAGAACTTGCACAATTGGTGGCTGACTAAATACTTTTTTGCCCCACTGTATGCTAGTAATATGCATGCTAATAAGCAACTAGGTTTTAGTGAGAATTGGTGTTACCAACATTTCAAAGCATATTATTTCATCAGTGGCTCAAGCTAAACTTTCTCTATGTCTGTCAGTAATAGACCACTTCCAAATCAATGTCTAACACTTCAGAAGGAAGCTACAATTTCATTGTCAAAGACACTACTCTTTCTCTGAGCAGCCGGCCAACTCGAGGAACCAGTTATATTCTTACCTCGGTTTGGATGATGGCCAAATAAAAACAGTAAGGAAAAGTACTTCCACAACATATTTCATCATCTCATTGACTTGAATCTCTTTTTCCCAAAAATACTAATGCAGAACTTGGTGTAGCAATATCGATATAGTTTTATGAGGTAAACTATATCACAAATATCATTTGCCCTGACTACTGAATCACAATATAGCTAGGACTAATAATTGAGACAAACTGTACCTCCACTGGCTTGTAAAATGGGGTCTGGTCACTTTAGTGTGCTCAAACGCTAACTTGGCTTTGAACTCGCCACCAACTCAGCAGACAGAGGTCAGGTCGACAGATAACCAAGCCCAATTTATCGCAGTCCAAACCATTCTCACTCGTTTAGCTCGGAGAAAAACAGATGTCCTGGTTTAGGGCTGATAACGCTCACCGCCTGCTGATAAATTTTACATTCAGGTGGACAAGCTGGGGGGAAATGGGTTTGCGAGGAGTGTGAAAAGGGCTTGGATCGCTGTCGGGAGGGGGGTGCTGATTGGACCCGAGTCGATGCGACGGACATAGTCACAGCGTGACGGATCAGCGTTGACGGCCAGTGTCCTGACAACCTCCGGATGGAAGGCCGTAATTTGATCAAGCTATCAATCAATACATCCAGATGGGCATCAATCAAGAGCGTAATGCGCTGCACCCTTCGGCGGCCGAGACGAGAAAAAGGAGACAGGAAAATAGGGGACTTGGTTTCTGCTCGGCTCCCCTTCCCTCGCTTGACAGCATCAAACCGAGCAGGGTCACCCTGGCCTGGGTGTGCCTGACAGAAACACTTAGACGGAGGAAGTAAGTCCCACATGACTGGAGGTGAGGTGGCTGCAGAAGTGCTGGAAATATGAGTCATTGTGGATTAAACTAACTTCCAATGATACTGAGGACAGTAGCTCAGTACCACTGCAAGAGTCAAAAACTGTTAAGTGTGACATTATAACAGTGCTTTAGGACTCCTTTGTTGAACACTGGCAGAAAACAACAAAAGTCACCTCACTAGCCAATTATTTTAAAATCTGACAGCAGCGGTTGTCAGGAAAGCCGCTTCTGAAGACATTTCTAACCAGTGGTTTTGAAGAAACGGGGCAGAGTAATGTTAGGTCATGAAATCCCGGCATAAAGAAGGAGGTTATCTACAACTTGGGTGTTGAACTAGGAATAATTGGGGAGCTAAGCTTAGTGGAAACTCTAAATGTAGTGGAAAGATAGATAAAAACACTCCTGAGTCAGGAGAAGAATACAGTCTAGAGGTCTGCATGGGTGTTAAACTCAAGCCCAAATCCAGCCTGTAAACTAAAACCTGTGATCTGAACGATACTGTCAAATTTGATGACTTTTTAGAGAGCCAACAGCCTGCTAAGAGTTGTTAAAATATGTATTATTGTCACACCTCATGGACCTGTATTGTTGCGTTTTCTTCCCCCATGCGCTCTGTTTGACCTAGTTTCTGCCTCCGTTTGATTATGTCATTTGGTTCAGGTGTGTCTGGTTAATTATCCTCATTTGTGACCCTGGAGCACAAAGCCAGTCATAAGTAGCACGGGTATATTTGTAGCAATAGCCAAAAATACATTGTATGGGTCAAAATTATAGATTTTTCTTTTATGCCAAAAATCATTAGGATATTAAGTAAAGATCATGTTCCATGAAAATATTTTGTAAATTTCCTACCGTAAATAGATCAAAAGTTAATTTTTGATTCGTAATATGCATTGCTAAGGACTTCATTTGGACAACTTTAAAGGCGATTTTCTCAATATTTAGATTTTTTGCACCCTCAGATTCCAGATTTTCAAATAGTTGTATCTCGGCCAAATATTGTCCTATCCTAACAAACCATATATTAATGGAAAGCTTATTTATTCAGCTTTCAGATGATGTATAAATCTCAATTTATAAAAACGGACCCTTATGACTGGTTTTGTGGTCCAGGGTCATATTTGCTCCACTATATTAGTTGTGTTCTGTTCTATGTTTGTGGTCCGGTCTACTACATGCCTACGTGTGTCTCCTGCCTGTTCTGTCCTGGATTTACCCTTGTGTGGATTTATTAAAGACTATTTGCATTCATCATCTTCTTTGTGTGTTTATCTCACCGTAGCATGACAATTATATTGATAATTATATTAATTAAATATATATATATATATATATATATATATATATATGTGTGTGTGTGTGTGTGTATAATCTTCTAATAATTTAATTTATATTAATTCAATTATTATTGTTGTTGTTCTAATTCATTTATTTGCTCTATTTATTAGATTATTTGGTCACACTTTATTTCAAGGTCCAGTTCTCAATATAACAATTCATTATCTTGATAAACTCCTAATTTGCTGCTTATTAATAGTTAGTAAGATAATTGTTAAGTTTAGGTATTGAGTAGGATTATGGATGTAGAATATGATCATGCAGAATATGTGCTTTATAAGTAATAAACAGCCAATATGTTAGTAATAGCCATGCTAATAAGCAACTAGTTAATAGTGTGAACTGGTCCCTATACTAAAGTGTTACCGATTATTTTTGTGTCTGGGGTGTGATAGAATCAGTTTTATCAAAACTAGCTAAAACCAATAGCAAAGACTAAAATATGTTTTTGTAATCACTGTCATTTTTTTGTACATGTTTAAAAGAAAGCATACCTGTTCAGGTGTAAGATCCCTCTGTTCATTAGCTAGCATCTCATATCCAACCATGAACTTGCGGATGGTTGCGGATCGTAGTAGGGGAGGATAGTAGTGAGCATGAAGCTGCCAGTGGCTCATGTCTTCCTGCAGATGACTTCCTGTCGGGGCCCCTGGAGAGCAAACCACAACTGTGAGCACACATACTGTACTACAGTCGGACGATATCAACAGAATAACCATTTCTAGATTCAATTTAATTTAATACTTTAAAGAACATATTCCCAACCCAATTTTCATCCATAATGTGACACATTTCCAAATGGAACTAAATATTAAATGAGAAAATAAAAAAGTAGAGTGGGATTTTATTCATGATGAATGGATTGGATGGTGAAAAAACGTTGTTACACACCTTAATGAAACCAGGAATGAAAGCAATAGATTGTGAGGAGGATGAAAATGTAGTTCGAGGAAACAAGTCATATATGAACTTCTACCTCCAGGGAAATAAGCTAACTCACACAATATATAGAGATACAAGTTCAAGTCAACCTTAAAAGCATCAATCCTATAATTATATAATTATATACTATTATTGCTGTAACCCTGTCATTAATGTTACTATTCACACAAAAGTTCACACACAAATGAAAAATCATACTCATGTTCTCACCCTCATGTTATTCCAAACAAAACTAACTAAATAAATAAATACAGGGGGAAAAAATAGGAAAGGAAGGAAAGGAAAGGACGTGATGTGTGGCCAAGTATGGTCTCTCATACTTGGAATTTGTGCTCTGCATCTAACCCATCCAAGTGCACACCCACAGCAGTGAGTAGTGAACAAACACACACACACGGGAAGCAAGGGTCTCACCTCAGTCGTGGTATTGAAGGTGGAGAGTGCTGGTTATTCACTCCCCCCACCTACAATCCCTGCCGGACCTGAGACTCGAACCCACGACCTTCAGGTTGCAAGTCCGACTCTCTAGCCATTAGGCCACGACTGCCCCAGTCGTGATACATAATAGATACATAAACATACATAATAGATACAAAATGGATACATAAATGTAAAAAAAAAATGTCTACATGTTTTTGCCCATAATATGAAAGTAATTGGGGCTAAAAAAATAACAGTACAACTGACTTTCATTGTATGCAGAAAAACTGTTGAGATTTTTGATAAACTATTCAAAATTGCCTAAATTACTGCTTAAACCAGAAAAGATTTTCTAGAAAGTAACAGGCTCAAGTTTAATTTCACACTGACCACAAGAATGATGTCAAGACCTCTACTGACTGATCTTTGCAAAGAAATGAAAGTTCAGTCAATCCCATTAAGACGTTCAGACGCAGCACGCGATGGCTCATTAAGTTTACTACGTGTTTCATTTTCAGCAACAGATCAAAAAATGCTTGCTGTCCCGATGGAGGACATTCTCAAAACCCTTCAAAAAAGTCAAATGGTTGCACGATTCGGTCTGATCAAACTGACTTGGCATCCATCTGTCTTATAAGTGTCTGCGGCTACATCAAAGCTGAATACACTGAACAGAGCAAACCGCAGCACTGGGCCTCAGCTAAAACTGTAATTAAAAACCCAGCCAGCGTACAGTAAGAAGGCCTGCGAACGTTCGGATGCCAGTGGCATGCGAGACATCTCTCGTAAGGTTTCACGGTGCATATTAAGTTATAAAATGGCTGTGAGAACCAGCGGTTTGGCTGTCCGCCCAGTCCCAGATCCCCCGCTCTTATCCCCATTGTAATGAATGAAAAGCGTATCATGCCAGTTAAATCAGATTCATCCTGACTGCTCCAGTGAAACGGCTGTTCATTTCCTTTGCTGGCATTTTCTCCACTGCCTCATGCCGGCTGGATGTTACTGGGTTTGGATCGGGTCTCTCTTCCCAGCACTCACATGCTCACACGTCTCTTTCTGGCCCATTTTGGGTTTCTCCTCGATTTTGTTGACTTTCCTGGTTTACATTTGGCTCTCAGCTCTCAGGGGTTAGTTACTTCAATGCAGTGCGAAATATGTAGAGATCGCTGGCTTCAGGCCATTTTCGTCCCGCGCCAGTGAAAATAATGTAAGGCTCAGATTCTCCAATACTGTACTTATTGTAAACGGCCTGAACGTGTAGAAACACTTGGCACAATGGCCAACAATATCAAGTTTGGTGATCTGAGCTCAATAATCCACTTCTATTTAACAATTACAGTGATGTCATCTTTCCTCATAACATTGTGAATGTTAGGCTAACCGAGACTTGTCATTTGCACTTATATATTGTTGCTCTTTTGTTAGTTTTGACTGCTTTTATTGTTCTCATTTGTAAGTCGCTTTGGATAAAAGCGTCTGCTAGAGTAGTGAACAAACACACACACACGGGAAGCAAGGGTCTCACCTCAGTCGTGGTATTGAAGGTGGAGAGTGCTGGTTATTCACTCCCCCCACCTACAATCCCTGCCGGACCTGAGACTCGAACCCACGACCTTCAGGTTGCAAGTCCGACTCTCTAGCCATTAGGCCACGACTGCCCCAGTCGTGATACATAATAGATACATAAACATACATAATAGATACAAAATGGATACATAAATGTAAAAAAAAAATGTCTACATGTTTTTGCCCATAATATGAAAGTAATTGGGGCTAAAAAAATAACAGTACAACTGACTTTCATTGTATGCAGAAAAACTGTTGAGATTTTTGATAAACTATTCAAAATTGCCTAAATTACTGCTTAAACCAGAAAAGATTTTCTAGAAAGTAACAGGCTCAAGTTTAATTTCACACTGACCACAAGAATGATGTCAAGACCTCTACTGACTGATCTTTGCAAAGAAATGAAAGTTCAGTCAATCCCATTAAGACGTTCAGACGCAGCACGCGATGGCTCATTAAGTTTACTACGTGTTTCATTTTCAGCAACAGATCAAAAAATGCTTGCTGTTCCGATGGAGGACATTCTCAAAACCCTTCAAAAAAGTCAAATGGTTGCACGATTCGGTCTGATCAAACTGACTTGGCATCCATCTGTCTTATAAGTGTCTGCGGCTACATCAAAGCTGAATACACTGAACAGAGCAAACCGCAGCACTGGGCCTCAGCTAAAACTGTAATTAAAAACCCAGCCAGCGTACAGTAAGAAGGCCTGCGAACGTTCGGATGCCAGTGGCATGCGAGACATCTCTCGTAAGGTTTCACGGTGCATATTAAGTTATAAAATGGCTGTGAGAACCAGCGGTTTGGCCGTACGCCCAATCCCAGATCCACCGCTCTTATCCCCATGTAATGAATGAAAAGCGTATCATGCAAGTTAAATCAGATTCATCCTGACTGCTCCAGTGAAACGGCTGTTCATTTCCTTTGCTGGCATTTTCTCCACTGCCTCATGCCGGCTGGATGTTACTGGGTTTGGATCGGGTCTCTCTTCCCAGCACTCACATGCTCACACGTCTCTTTCTGGCCCGTCTTGGGTTTCTCCTCCATTTTGTTGACTTTGCTGGCTTACATTTGGCTCTGGGCTCTCAGGGGTTAGTTACTTCAATGCAGTGCGAAATATGTAGAGATCGCTGGCTTCAGGCCATTTTCGTCCCGCGCCAGTGAAAATAATGTAAGGCTCAGATTCTCCAATACTGTACTTATTGTAAACGGCCTGAACGTGTAGAAACACTTGGCACAATGGCCAACAATATCAAGTTTGGTGATCTGAGCTCAATAATCCACTTCTATTTAACAATTACAGTGATGTCATCTTTCCTCATAACATTGTGAATGTTAGGCTAACCGAGACTTGTCATTTGCACTTATATATTGTTGCTCTTTTGTTAGTTTTGACTGCTTTTATTGTTCTCATTTGTAAGTCGCTTTGGATAAAAGCGTCTGCTAAATGACTAAAATGTAAATGAATGTTGCATGGAATCTGGGTCATTCGTATGCCTTGCTTTGAACAAGACCTTCCAGTAACATTATTAAGATTCATGAATATTGCTGAATATTAATGAAACAGCCAACTAAAGGCTATGCACTCAGAAACCCAAGTCTAATCAAATATCAATAAAAATCAATTAAAAGATACTGCAAATTAGTGCATGGAGTGGCAAACTGATCACATTAGTAGTAATAATAATTACTAATAAAAAGTAATAATATATATATATATATATATATATA